GGAGGTGAGAAGCCTCTAAGTCTGCACTGTGGGGAGCACTCACCGTCCTGGGGGTCCTCCTTCTCCTGGGAGTCATCCTCCTCCTTCTGTGCTCCATCCTTGCATCTCCCAAACAGAGATGCCTTAGGACCATCCTCAAGCTGGGCTAGCCACCAGGACACCTGGGTTTGAATCACTCTGGACCCTGGGCTGTGCTCAGAGCAGAAGACACTATCTCCGCTTGTCCAGCCCAGTCTGGCCCAGACTTCACTCCGGGGACCAGGGTAGGGTTGGGAAGAACCTCCACTGACACTGGGAGATGCCTGGGAACTGGGAGGCCCCACCCCGCCTGGGGTCTCTGTGTTCCACTGAGCCTTCCTGGTTGAGGCTCAGTGCCTGTGGGTGCCTGTGCCCTAGGCCTTGCCCACATAGACTTATGCACAGGCTCTTTGCGAAATCACTGTGTGCCCCAAAAGCTGTAAATTAAACCCCCCCTTCCCACACGCTAGCTCAGTCATTTTCAAAGCTACTTTCCTGCTGAAGGGGGGGTACCCTGTGGGCATTTCCTTAGGGTCTCTACCCTTGTTTTTCCTCAGTGGCACGTCTGTGTGTGGAAAGGCCTCAGGATTTGGGCAAAGGTGAGGGAGGCAGGAGGTAACTCAGGGAGCAGCTGGCTTTACCCTTCGGGAGGCAGGCAGGGAGGCTGCCCCCTCAGGAGTCCCTACTGTGAGTTGGGAGATAGGGAAGTCATCTCACATTGGAGCTGCCTGGCCTCTGGGCCTGACTCCTTTCTCAGGCAGAGCAGGAGAGTAGAGAGAGAGAGTAGCTTTCTCTGGGGGAGCTGAGATGGGCTCCCTGCCACCCTGAGCCCCCTGTTCCAGGCCCCCAGCTCCTGACCAGATCAGATAGGGCACGTTCCTGCTGTGAGCTGCCTGCTGACTGGGACTGGGCTGACGCAGGCAGGAAAATATTAACCCAGTGGAATGGGCACATGTAAATGTGTGCATGACTCCGTGTGTTTGTGTGTGTGTGCGTGTGCGTGTGTACGTGTGTAACCACAGAGGTTTTCACATGCAAGGCCAGACACAGATATGTAGGTATACATACACACCTGTCCATTCACACATATAGATGCTCACATACAGACATACACAAAAACACAAATGCTTCTCACACATGCAAATTCTCTCAGGATAATCCTCCAAATTCTGTCAGTGAGATTGCCTCCACTAACAAGCCCTCCCTGATAGCTCTAGCTCATACTGGGAAGTAGGAGGCCTGAGCTCTGTGCCTGGTTTCTGATGCTAAATTAGGCAACATGACATAGGCCTTAGAGTGGAACAGGCTTGTTTTTGAATTCTGGTTCCTTGTTTGTCCTTGGGCCAGTGGCTGTGCCTCCTGATCCTATCTTCACCGGTCTCTGTCCCCCCTGTCCTGGACACCCACGTATGACTCTTGAAAGGATGAGAGGCTGGGCTGTGGCAAGGGGAGTCTGGTCATTGGAGAAGGTCAAGGTTACATGCTGTCCTGCATCGTGCTTGTGCCCCTATCCCTCCCCAACCTAGCACCTGGTTCTCCTAGGTAGGGGGCCCTGGCCTCCTAGGGCAGGGGACAGAGCCCTGATCTGGATGTTCTAGGTCTGGGTGATCTTGAGCAAGTTGTTACCTTGCTCTGAATCTCAGTTTCCCTATCTCAAGAGTTCGAAAGGTGACACTTACTTGGGTGAGACTTAAGGGTCCTTTCTTTTTTGAGCAGAAGGAGAATCTTTATGACTTCAGGTGATTTCAGAGAGACAAGGGTCCCTTGAAGAACGCACGTTGTGTTCCCACAGCCATCCCCGCTCTTTCAGCCAGAGCATTTTCTTTCTTACTGATTATACACAGGCTCCTAAGTTATACACCGTATTCGGTGGCTCAAAAGAGTCTGAAAAACCCCAAGTGTAAAACAATTTGGTTATTTTAAAAATAAAAATATCTATAGTTATATATATATATGTATATATATATATATATATAATCTATAAGATTTTATTTATATATTTAACAGAGAGATAAAGAGCACAAGTGCAGCAGCAGGCAGAGGGAGAGGAAGAAGCAGGCTGTCTGCTGAGCAGGGAGCCCAATGCAGGGCTCAATCCCAGGACTCTCGGATCATGACCTGAGCCAAAGGCAGATGCATCATGGACTGAGCTACCCACGCACCCCCTTAAACAATTTGACTGAAAGTAGTTTCTGTGATAAGTTAATCAAATAGAATATTGGTTGAAACAAATAATTAGCTGAAATGATTAGGTTTTTTACACATCAACACTTTGGTGGATATTTTGGGGAAAGTTCAGAGAAGTTTTAACATCTTTTGGCAGTTTTCTTTCCTTATTTTGATTTTTAAAAAATTTTATTTGCATTTTCATTCCTAATTTTGGATTTTGGCCTCTTGTATCTGCTCCATGCTGTTCCTAATAGGGAGGAATTGGAAACATTTAAAATAGGGGACAGTGTGTCCTGTATAGTCACATACAAGATATGGATATAGACCTGTTAGGATGGAAAGATAGTCTCAATAATGTTAGAGGGGGAAAAAAGGCCTTTACAAAGTAAGTTTCATTCTACTTATTATTGACCAAGTAGGAAGGGGATATGTGTATATATAAAAGGATTAGAAGGAAATCTACCAAAATGTTAGGAATAGTTGTCACAGAGGGAAAATGGGTCTTTTAAGTTTTCTTTGGCTTGTTTGTATTTTAGTTCAAAACAGAATAAAAAGGATCTGAGATTCTTTTTATTTGTTTTCTATTAAAAAAATTTCCACTCCAATGATAGACAATTATATCTGCTCGACTTGCTTGGCTATGTGTTCATAAATATTTAAATTTTCAGTTAGGTTGAACATTAATGTCCCCAATTACCAATTCACATTGTAAGATTTTTAGTGTAGTGAGTAAGAAACAGGAGGTGGAGAGGGACCTGGCTGGCTCAGTTGGTAGAGCATGCAACTCTTGCTTTTGGGGTTGAGTTTGAGCCCTATGTTAGTTAGGCTTAGAGCTTACTTTAAAAAAAAAGAAATAGAAGGTTGATGAGCACTGGGCTATTTCCAAATTTTCACTAGCAAAAGAAAAAATGTATTGCAGACAAAATGAGAATAAGAAAACTAAATTTCTTCAAGAGGGACTAAATGCTGAGAGGTACATCAACGTTTGACAACTTGCCCTGTAGCACACTAATATTACCACTTCATTTTCAACCCATTTATATTTCCACTAAATTTGTTTCTTACTTACTGGGCCACTGTGCCTCCATAAACCTTTTCTTGGGCCTGGGTGGGAGGGACCACATATCCTCCCACCCCATTTCTCAGGTGAGGAAACAGAGGCCCAGGGGCAGGATGGAGCCACTTCTCTAGCCCTCTGCAAGCCACTCACAGAATGTGTTAGGTTTTCTCACAACCCTTGGGGTTCGAATGGCTTCAAATAACCACCAGCACCGCTCCCTCCCTCGCTCACTTTGGAGCACTCAGCTTCCCTGTCATCTCTTCCAGATGATTCTTGCCTCCCTCCAGGCTGGCTTAGCTGCTGCCTATATTCCGTCCACCTTATCATGGCGTCTCCTATGTCACCTGCTGTTTATCCATCTCTCCCAAGAGACAGGACTGTGTCTTCTCTACATCTGGGTCTCCAGTACCTCGCCCAGCAAATGAGCCAGGGTCTCGATCCCTGACTAACCAACATGGATCCTAAGCCCCTCCTTCACCAACTTGATACCCGCCCAATCCAAGTCCACCTAAGCACTGCCCTCATCCAAGACCCCAGCTTCACTTTTGACCCTTACCTTACTCTGACCCTGACAGTACACACCAGAAAGGAATAAAGGCAGGTGTCTCATATGTCCAAAGGTTACATCTCTCCCTTCCTGAAAGAAGCAGTTACTGTCCTGAGCCCACCTGAGTCTGCAGAGTGGAGTGAGGGGCAGAGCCTCAGCTGCAGGGGGGCAGCAGTGGAAGAGTTTGCTCCTTAAGGACAGCTTCCGACTGGGAAGCCCTCAGATTGCAGCCTGCCCCTGCCTCTCCCTGCAGAGTGACCTGCAGGGCAATTTGGGGTTGGGACACAGGACAATGTGCGTTCAGACCTGGCTTGGTCTATTGGCACCCTCTAGAGGACAGTTTTGTTACCAGAGCTAGCTTTGGGCAACCCAATCCTATATGGCCTCCCCACCAGCCTCAGTGCTCCCGGACTTACTGCCCACTGCCCACCACTCCCCCTGGCAGGTCCCCTCACAGTCTGCAGAGCAGCAGCCACTCCCCGTGTCTCAACCCGAGTCACCCGCTCAAACACCACAATGCCCCATCCTTGGAGGCCCAGTAATGCCCTGGCTCCAGAAGTCCACTCAGATGGCAGCTAATCCCCTAGCTCACTCCTGACCCCACCTTAGTCACTAAGTTTCTGTAGCTCTGCCCTGGGGCCCCATACTCTGGTCCAGCTTTGGCCCCTTCACAGAGGTCTTGCTTGCTGTTCCCAAGGGAGGCATTTTCCTGAAGATGGGGCATAGGTTTTCCCTTCCCCTGCTCAGATGGGGGTTCCCAAAGGAGGTGGCCCAGGCTTCTCTCTGCCAATAGACGAGGGACCCCAGAAGACCAGGCTTGGCTCTGTCTCCCTTTTCAGAGCAGGGTTTCCCTGCTAACATGGCTTATGTGTCCTCCTTCCTCTGAGACGGGGAGGGGCCTGAGTTTCCCTTTCCTTCTCCAGAATGGGGGTTTCCTGAGGATTGAACTAGGCCTCCTTCCCCAACCCCTCCACCTGGCTGTTGATCTCCAGATCTTCCCATCTCCAGTCCCCATTCTGCACAGCTTTTCCCACAACCAGGGGCTCCAGAGCCTCTGTGCCCTCCCTCAGGTCTGGGGCCCCGGGAGGACTTGCTCTGGCTTTGGGGTGGACACCCGGCTTGGAGGACAGGCCCTTCCTCTGGGACCCATCCTGAGCTCTACCTCTGACCTCACAAGGGCTGCCTCAGAACCTGGTCTCCGTGGCGCCGCTGGCAGGAGAGGGGATGCTATTTTAGGCAGTGTGTCTGGACTTGGCCCAAGTGGCACGGGCCAAACCCCTGCCCCACTGACCTCTCCCCTGGAGGAGCAGAGCAAAGCAGCGCGTGGGGCCACCCCAAGGGGGGCCGAGAGGCGGGCTCTAGGCTAGGGACACAGGGACAGTGGCGTCCCAGCCGGTGGTGCAGCCAGAGCCCGGGCCAGTCATGGAAGAACAAGACCAAGACCTCCTGTAACTCAGAAGCCGCCAGGGTGGATGCTGAGGAACATAAGGCCTTTCAGTAGAGTGAGTTTGGTTCCAGGCAGAGCTGGAACAGGGGGCCTCCCCTTCGGCTCAAGCCTCAGTGCTACTTCCTGGGGGACATATGGTTGTGGGGAGAGATGACCATGGGACTATCTGGGGGAGGAACTCCAGCTGGGAGTTAAAAGCCAGGATGTTGGTTCTGGTTTAGTCCTGAGTTGCTGTGTGACACAGGCATGTCCCACGCTCTCTCTGGGCTCTAGTTTCCTCACCTGGAATTTGACTATTGGGAGGAACAGCAGCCCGCAGAGGCTGGGAGGCCGTGTAGGGCTGGGGTGTCAGGAGAGCGCTGGCCAAGGAAGAAGGAGAGCAGGCAGACCAGACCCTGGACCAAAGCAGAAGGCATGCAGATCAGAGAGATGGTTCGATTGCTGGCTTAGCTGGAGTGGTTTCTCCCCTGGGAGTTCCCTCCTGAGGAGCTGGGGCTGGGGGTTGCAGGGTCCTGCAGTCAGGACTAGGGATGTGACCTTGTGCTGCAGCTACAGGGAATCTGGCTAGAGAACCGGGGGACTTACAGAATGGGGAAACTCAAGGGTTACCTCTGTGTGGTCATTTGTGTGGACAATGGGAATACGCTGGGGAATTTTCAGGAAAGGTAAGAGGGTGGACTTTGTTCTGAGGTGGCACTATGGACTAAATGAATTCTCAAGACTTCACTTGTGAGTGCGTGTGTGTGTGTGTGTGTGTGTACTTGAGGAAAAGGCCCTGGAAAATCAGAATTGAAGTCAGCAGCAAGAGGGCTTGAGGTTAGACTCAAGGCAGTAATACCCAGATACGTGAGGGTGGCACCACTGAGGGGAGGCTGTGGGCATCCCCACTGTCCAAGCTGGCAACCTGGGGAAATCAGGAGGACCTGTGAAGAGCCTGGTCCAGGGGTCCGGAGGCGGCAAGGGTGAGGGGGTGGGACTCCAGGGCCTTTCCCCATTGGCTGAAGCACAGCCACACCTCTCCTTGCCAGCTTGGCTGGTTGAGAGATTGGAACTGGCAGGACCTGTCCCTGTGTCTTCCCCACTGGGAGACTGGGGTCTGATGAGAATGTGGGGCCAAATTCTGTGCCCCCTAGCCCTAATGACCTCTCTTTGGCTCTGCAGCATCTAAAAATCTCAAAGACGGAACATGGCTCAAAGAGATAAGAAGAGGCGGTAAGTACCCTACTCGTTTTCCTCCTCCAGCCTCTCATCCCCCAACCACCTGCACACCCCTACTCTCTGCCTCTCCCTCATGGCAGCTGACCCTCCCCAACCCCCCTCCTTCCCATTCCCCGCTGGGTCAAGAGGCTTAGAAGAAGGGCCTCTCCCTCCTGGGCCCTAGGCTGGGCCCTGGGGTGACAGAAGGCTGAGAAAGAACTGGGTGAGGGCCAAGGAGTTGGTGAGTGGGTTCCAGCTGCCTTTATGTAGGTGGTGCTCAACAGAACTGAACTCACTGCTTCTCATCCTCGCGGGCTCAAGTCTCTTTGGGGTACAATAAAAGCCAAGGTCCTTGCAACGGCCCAGGGCCTGCCCTTCTAGTCCTGGTTTCCTCTCTGACCTTCCCCCACGCTGTCCCTGCTGTCTCCCACTCCAATCACACTGACCTCCTTTCCTTTCCCTCAAATGTGCTCAGAATCCTTCAGTGATTTCCCCCTCTGCCTGCAATGCTCTTCCCTCACCTCCTCCTGTCTGTCACCTTCTCAATGTGGCTTTCCCCAACTGCTCTACTTAAAATCATACCCCACCCCGTTTCCTTGCTCTATTTTTCTCCAGAGGCCATACTACCTTCTTCCTTCCTTCTTTCTTTCTTTCCTTCCTTCCTTCCTTTCTTTCTAAGATTAAAAAAAAAAATTTATTTGTGAGAGAGGGACAGAGAGCACAAGTGGAATGGAGGGAGGGGCAGAGGGAGAGGCAGGCTCTCAGCAGAGCACCGACACTGACACTGACGCGGGATTCACCACCTGAGCCGAAGGCAGCCGCTTAACCACCTGAGCCACCCAGGCACTACCCCCATAGTTCGCAAATGTACTTGCTTATTACATTTCATCGATGCCTGCCAGCTCTGTGTGAGCAGAGAGTTTTGTCTGTGCACTCCTGGACAGACAGAATGAATGGCTCCCCTTTGTGCTGGACTCTCTCTGGGGACTTAGACACTGTTTCCAAAGATCCACTGGCATCCCAGTTGAAAACAGCCTCCATACCCCAAGCCCACTCCTCTTCCCGTGACCTCAGGTCAGCCCAGGATCCCTTTCTCCACTGCTCAAGCCAGAAGTCAAGACCCTGTCCTTGACACTTCTGTCTTCCCATGCCTCGTATCAGGTCACATCTCCTAAAATATCTAGACTGTGCTCACTCCCACCATTCTTTCCCCATCGACCCTCCTCCCTCACAGGCACATTAGGCCACCACCTGCCCACTCTTCAGAAGTCTCTGCAGGCCTCACCTCCCACCCCTGGCTTCTCGGCTCTGATGGAGCTGCCGTTAACCGTCAGACCCACTAGATGAGTGATCCAAGGGTGGAGACTAGGTTTGTACACTGACCGCAGGGGCCCGGCTAGCTTACAGGTGGTTGGTTGATTAGGTCATTAAATGAGCTGGGGAATAGGAGACTCCGTTAGCTGGCCAAGTTGCTAGATAAGTAGTTAGTTGAAGGGTTGGTTGGTGAGTTATTAGCTATTTAACTCTTTCATAGGCAGGTACTTAGATAATTATCAGGTTGGCCATTAGCTTCTTGGCTTGTAGGCCAGTTTTTCTCATTCTACACCCTTTCCTTGAGCTATCTCATCTCTGCCCAAGGATCAAACGACCACCTGTGACCTCTGGATGTGTGTCTGTAAATAAGACACTACCAGCTGCCTCCACATTACCGGCCATCTCCACCTAGATGTCCAGGAGGCTCTTCAAACTCCACACAGCCGGAGGGACTCCTCGTGCTCTGCCTAAGCCTGCAGCTTATCTCCTCTGCTCGCTTGTCATTCTGCTGTTATGCCCGAAGCTGAGGACATCACTGACCCTTCCCTCTCCATTTCCCTCTTTAGCCAAACACCAAGTGTGTCATTTTGACTGTCTTCTGGCCCTGAGGCTTTCTGCCATCTGGCCTTGTGCCCTCTCTGCCCACCTCACGCTACTTTCTCTCTTTCTCTCTCTTTCTCTCTCTTACCAGCCCATCCTTGGGGAGTCCATCTACACGCTGTCTTAGCGGCAAGCCTCTGCCATGCCATTCCAAGGCCCAATTTCCCCTGACTCTCAGGATGCTCCTTCATCTGGCCAGCCTTCCATTCTCAGCCCATTTCTTCTTCTCTGGGTGACCCTCCCACGCCCCTCCTCGAGGTCGTTTGTTTCCTCCCTGCAATCCAGTGATGCCCACCTTTCGCCTGTGGCAACGTTCCTCACGCTTTATAGTGATTACTTCATTGTTTTTCTTCTTGAGAGTTTTTCTTCCTGAGAGCAGGGGTCCTGACAATATTTTCTATGACAGTGCTTGATTGTAGTAGGCATTTGATAAATCTCTGGGTGTGTGGCTGGTTGGTGATTTGTTGCTTACTGTGTCTCACCTGCTGTGTGGTGAGGAGAAAGGGGCCACGGTTGGAAAGTTCTCTTGGTGTCCTTGGCTCCCGCTCTGTACACCTCTCCACTACCTCTGTGGTACTTTCCCATGACCATCTTGGGTACCTGCCTGCCTCAAGCTACTCACAGGCCCTTCTTCAGGGCTGAGAAGCTGGTAACAGGGGCAAAGAGACCCCCCCCCTCCCGTGCCCCACCATGATGCTGCATGGGAGCTGGAGCTGGATGGACATTGGTAAATTGTCCCTTTACTCTATATAGCCTTCCATATGCTCAGCCCTTAGTTTGTTTTCCTGGGATGAGGACAGAGCAAGGACCTGGGTGGGTGAGATTAAACACAGGGTCTCAGCCAGGAAAATGGAAGGTGTTTTATTCATGCCTGATTTACGATTCTTACTCCCTTTACTTATTCTGTGCTGCTGTAGGGCCGGGGAAATCTCGGGAAGCCTGGGGTGCGGTGGGGTTGATGTTGCTATCCCAGGAGGAAGAGGCAGTTGAGGGCCTGGGGTCAGCTTCAGACATTCAGCAGGAGCCGGGTCACCAGTCTGACAAGCACTAAGGCCACACTTAGAGGACTCTGTAGCCCTCCTCTTCCTCTTTAGCCTCCAGAACTCATCTCCTTCCCCAAACCAGAACTCTCTGCCCCACCCCCAACAGATGATGGGACCAGTAACTCATTTTTTTTTTGTCTATCTCTTCATCCAACCATGCATTTATTAAACAAATATTTGTCAAGCATATACCATGTGCCAGGCCCTGTAGGAGATTCTGGGGATCTAGCGGAGAGTACAACAGATGAATTCCCCAGTTTTTATTCAGTGGACAATATCTATTGCACACCTACTCTGTATTTGGCCCTGTGCTGGGCAGGTGAGCATACAACAGTGGGGAAGACCCAGTCCCTCCTTGCCTCCCTCTTCTCTCTCATTTGTTCATTCCTTCATTCACACACAGAAGTCTGTTTGTGTCAACCTGGTTGCCGAGCCTGCTGTACTTCGCAGATACTTTCCCCTCTGGCAGAACCTGATGCAAGTTTCAGGCCTCAGTGTTTAAGGAGCCCTGAGCGGCCTCTGCCACACCCTGTGTTTGCAAAGTGCCTTGCTATTAACAGGTCCTGCCTGATGCCCGGCCTCTGTTCTCAAAGCTTTGGCTCCTGCAGACAGGCAGACAGACAGACTGACGGGCAGCTGAGCCCCCTCTTCTGCCTGCCCTCTCCCATCTGCTTCTCCTCTGGGACTCACTGGCACCACAGATGGCACTTTTCGGCTCCCCATTACCTTCTCTGCAGAATGACCTCTTTAGTGCACCCTTCCCACTGGTCCAGTCCCCTCCAGAAACAAGGGACCTGGGGCACCTGGGTGGCTCAGTGGGTTAAGCCGCTGCCTTCAGCTCAGGTCATGATCTCGGGGTCCTGGGATCGAGTACCGCATCGGGCTCTCTGCACAGCAGGGAGCCTGCTTCCCTCTCTTTCTCTCTGCCTGCTTGTGATCTATCTCTGTCAAATAAATAAATAAATAAAATCTTAAAAAAAAAAAAAAAGAAGGGACCTAGCCTGGCCATCTAGCACCAGTTCCTCTCCACATTCCTGTGGCTCTTAGTCGTCTCTCATCCCAGCTCTACCAGCTGCCCTGGGCAAGAGGAGGTGTGTGTGGGTAACCTCTGGGTTACCCATTAACTCAGCCATGACCTAAAGGGCCGATGGCAGCGAGTACACTCGAGTCTCTTTCCTGCCCATGGGCTTGGGCATGCTCCATGTCCATCCGCAGCTCCAAGATGGTCTCATCGCCCACGGTAATCACAAGGATGCAAGCAATCATGCAGAAGGAGATGGTGCGAGAGTTCCTGGCCGAGTTCATGAGCACGTATGTCATGATGGTGAGTGGGTAGATGGCACAGGGTGGGTGGGCTCTGAGGGAGGGACAGGAACCTCAAGACCTCAGGAGGGTGGGGCTCAGTGAAAACAATCCATGATCCCCTCCCCACCACTGACCTCTGGGTCACATTATCCCTTCTCCAGCCTTGGAGCTGGGCTCCTGAAGGAGAAGCATAAGAAAGTAAAGAGAAAGCTCTCTTTTCCTGGCCCTCTTTTTGGGAAAGAAAGAAATCATAGTATGTGGGGAAAGAACAAAAGCATGGGCTGGGGTGCAGGTGTCAGGGGGCATGGTTGGAACTGGAGAGAAGGGAAATTAAGAGTACAGAGATTAGAGAGAAGTGTCATTGAGCACCACACTTTAAGGATCCTGAGAGCCATGAAGAGGTGTGGAAGGTTTTCACGTTGGGGAATGATGTGTTCACATTTGGATTTTAGAAGGTGTCTGGGGTGCAGTGTGAGCCTTAGCAGAACTGGCAGAACTGGTGGGAGGAGAAGCAGTTAGGAGGCTGTTGACCTAGGATAGAGAGAGGGTGATGACTGGTCCAGGGATGGAGGAGAAAGCACACAGTTGAGGGAGCTGTGGAGGAACCAAGACTTTGCAAGCAGCAGATGAGGGTAAGTGCTGAGGAGGCCACTCTGGAGCCCAGGGCCCACTTCAGCGTGAGAAGCAAGGTCAGTCTGGGTGTGCTCAGGTGAGGTGCCAGTGGAGACGTCTGGGAGCTTAGATATAGAGGTCTGGAGCTCCAGAGAGGGACGGGGCTGCAAGTAAGGAGTTAGAGCTCATCAGAATATGGATGGTGGTTATAAAAGTGTTTGGTGAGACTGCACAGAAAGAAAAATAAGTTGAGGACAGAACCCTGAAGAGGAGCACGCAAAGAAGCCTGAGGAGGAGTGGTCAGAAAAGTGGGAGGAGAAGGGGGGACTGTTATAGAAAGGAGGGCCCACAGGGAGGGAGTGGTCAGCAGTGGGGGGCTGCAGACAGGCCAGAGAAAGTGGCTGCTGGCAAGGGTCTATAAGGATTAGCAACATGGAGGTCACCGGGGACCTCAACAAGGGCTTTTTTATTGGCTGATGGGACAGAAACCAGACTGCAGGTGGGATGTGAGGTTTCTTAGAAACCCACCCCCCCTCCACCTACAGCAGTCAGCCTCTGCCCTGAAGCTGTAGCCATCCCTGTCTGAATCTCATGGAGGCCCCAAGTCCATGAAAAGAAGGGGCAGCTCTGGGAAGGAAAGCCAACGTGGAAGTGGGGGTGAGAGAGTATGAGAGTGCCTGAGTGCATGTGGTTATGTGTGTGCACAGGGGGGAGTATTACCGGTTGTATGTGTGTGAGTGTGCATTGAGCCACAGTGTAGGAGACACTAAGTGTAGGAGACACTGGACCTAAGAATCCTGATTCTGCCACTGAGTCACCAGCTGGACCTGAGCCAGTCTCTCTGCGACTGAGTCTGTCTTCTCAGGTATTTTATTTTTATTTTTATTTTTAAAAGATTTTATGTATTTGTTTGTCTATTTGAGAGAGAGAGAGAGAGAGAGAGCATGAGCAGGGTGCAGGGGCAGAGGGGGGAGGGAGAGAGGGACTCTCTCAAGCAGACTCCACCCCTGAGCTGGAGCCTGATGCGGGGCTCGACACCATGACCCTGAGATCATGATCTGAGCTGAAAGCAAGAGTCGGATGCTCAACTGTCTAAGCCATCCAGGCGCCCCTGTCCTGTCAGTTATTAAGCATGTTGTTGAATTGGACCTTCATGGGCTGTGGAGCTGTTTGAGTCCTGCTGTCTTCTCAATGTGTGATCTTTTGCAAGTGTCTTGACTCTTTAGAACTTTAGCTTCCTCGTCAGTAAACGTGACACTAACATCAAGCTGGCAGACACCTAGTATGTATGCAGGACATATGTGCTGGTCTCTGGTCATGACATGTGCTCGCAACTGCCCTCCCCTCCCCGTCGCCTGTGCTTTTCCCTTTCCCCATTACTTGCCTTCCTGTTTTGACTCCTGAGCAGTGAGGACAGCAACTGGATGGTGTCCAGCCTTAATCCAGGGCAAAGTCATTCATTTATGACAAGACATTCTAGCCTCGTGAGGGCTGTTAAACCTTGGAACCATGGAGGTGGGAGGGCACCTCCTCAGAGAGCTCTTAGGGGAAGCCGGCACCACCCACATGCACTGATGCCTTTCCTTGTCCCTGTTTCTCTTCCTTTTTTTGAGATTATTATTGAGCTGTATGCCAGGCGCGATGATGCCAAGCCCCTTACATATAGTATCTTCTCAAATCTGCACAGCAAAGCATTGTGCTCCTCATATGAGGGAGGTTCTATTATTATCCCCATTTCACAGGTGGGGAAACTGAGCCTCCGTGAGACTAAGTTACTTATCCAACGTCACATTTTAAGTTAAGATCAAATCCAGTCCAACCTAATATCACAGCCTTGACCCTTAGTTTCTATACTCTCTATCCCTTAGCTTAACTATGGCAGGACTTACAACACTCTGGCTTGTTTATTCTCCCCCAGCTGAGGTAAGGCCCTTACTTTCAGGCTTTTGGTAGTCTCTGGGCCTCAATTTCCCCATCTGTAGAACAAGAGCAGAAACATTTGCCAGGCAGATCTGCTGTGAGGATGGAAGGGAAATAACACTTACAAAAGAACTCTGAGGTTTAAGCTCATATAGGACATTGTGTTGTTGTTTGCAGTTGTTGGGCCTGTGCCAAGAAGTGGGGGCTTTTTCGGTTATAGAAAGCTCAATGAGTCATCAGGGCGAAGGTTTTGCCAGAAAAACTAGTGTGACCTTGGGCCCCATTTACTGCAGCCAGGATGAGGGACGTGGACTGTTCTTCCGGAGCCTTCCAGAGTGCTGTGCTCAGGACTGGCCTTGTGGTGATGGGGACTGGAATGGGCTGGGCCACATCCACCCATCAGGGAGAGGAGGAGCTGGGCCATTAGGGCTCTGGAAAAGCAGTTGTCGACAGGAGCCAGAGAGGGAGGAGTTGCAAATGTACACGCCATGGGGACCAGACAGTGAAGTCAAAGTGGTGGGGACTGTGGCAAGCGGCAGAGTGCTGGCCTGCAAAAAGACATCTCTGCCACTAGCCCAGCAGACGGTCACCACACAGGGCGGGACGCAGGCCAGTGTTGCCCGGGCTTCTGATTTTTCAAGGGAGCCTGAAACTTCTGGTGGTCAAAACCAAGGTACCCAAACAAAACCTTGTTCTGGATAGACTGGCCCATGGGCTGCCAGTTGGCAGCCTTGACACAGGAGATCATGTGGGGTTTAGTGACTCATTCATTATTTTTAGCAAATGGTTTTGAGCTCCTGCTTGGAAATGTGGACCCTCGGTCTTCAGACCCTCCATGTGTGCTCCAGCCTCTGCACCTCCTGTCAGCCCATCCTGGCCTCACACCCTACACCCTGCCCCATCTGTTCCTGTCCTCTCCTGCCTCATCCTACCCTTGGCCTAAGTTTTCCTGCGTCTGGGCTCCCCTGCACCTGTCCTAGAGCCCTTGGGGGACCTACGTGGCCCTGCTCAACTCTCTCTCCCCTACCCTATGCAGGCAATTCCACTTATTCTCAGGCTTTCCCAAAGCTGCTCTGTACTCTGCCCCCCACCCCCCTCTTTTTTAAATCAGCAAATGGCTGGATTGCTAGCTTGACCGAGAAAACCATCAGGCAGGCTTCCTGCGTCTGGCTTCTCACCCACCCGTCCCTGCAGCACCAGGCTCCACTTACCTGCGCATCCACATATCCCCTCCTTGGCGAGGGCGGGGTGCCTCCTTCATGGAGGGCCCCCCACTCCGGCACCAGTCCCACCCTCCAGTCCACTCAGGTACTTTGTTCCATCCTGAGGCAGAGCGTCTCCTTCTCTCAGCCTTGCCACGCTGAAGTCTCTCTACGTAAACCGGCACTACACAAAACATTCCTCCCTTCCCCCGTGAGCCCCTTCAATGATCATGCTCTCCCTCCCTCCCTCCTCAGGCAGGTTCTCAAAGAGATGTCTGCACTGGTACCCTTCATCTCTTCTTCACCACCTACTTACCTCTCAGTTTCTGGGACCCGGTTTCTGTTCCCATGGCCTGATGATGCCGTGCTCAGCACATTACGAAGGACTGCCGGATTGTCACATCCAGAGGGATGCTTTTCAGGCCTTCATGCACTTGACCTGGAGGCTGCATGTGGCCTTGGGGACCACACCCTCCTGGGAAACTCTGCTGCTCTCTCGTGTCCAGGGCACATTCTCCCTTTGTTCCTCTCCCATTTCAACACCTGCTCCATCTGAGGTTTCTGACGCCAACCTACATGGGGCAGCCCACAGTCGACCATCCTCTTACCTTCATCCTCCCTGAAGGCTCAGCTAGAGCTCCCATGTCCACAATTCTCTAGGCTTTCTTTTTTGAAAACACTAGAACAGAGCTGTGCAAGGGACATACAATATGAACCACATATGTAATTAAAAATTTTCTAGTCCCCACATTAAAGAGGTAAAAAGCAACAGGTGAAATTAATTCAAAAAAATTATTGCATTTAATCCATATAGCCAAAATATTACTACCAGTTCAACATGTAATCAATATAAAATTATTAATAAGATATTCTACATTCTCTTTCTCCTACTAAGTCTTTGAAATCTGGCATGTACTTTATTTACACTTAGTGTGGGTCTCAATTTGGACTGGCCACATTTCAAGTCCTTAGAAGCTGCCTGTAGCTAGTGGCCATCATATTGGAGGATGAATCTAGACTTCCATTTCCAGCAGCCTTGATATGTATACATCCCTCAGAGATAGCGTATCGAAAGCACAGGGAATTTTCAAAGGAGGTGCTTTCCAGGTGTGGCTTTAGAGTAACGAGTTTTCAGAATCTGGCATCTGGAACTCCAGACAGAGGGAACAGCACATGCTAAACCACAGAATCATTCAAAAACAAGGCACGCAGGGAGCAGTGTGGTTGTTTGGTGTTGAGGCTGTTTGGCATAGCCGACTGCCTAGATTCGAATCCTGGCTCACCCTGTGCAGGTTGTGTGCTTTGGACAAGCCGCTCAACTTCTCTAGGACTTGGTTAACAATCTGTCAAATGGGGAGAATAAGAACATCTAACACACAAGCTGGTGTGGTGTGAGGGTTAAAGGAGGAGATAGATACAACTTGCTTACAAGTGCCTGACACACAGTAAGTGATCAATAAGTGGTTATTATGGTTTAGTAGTAATACTATTGCTGACCATAGAGAACACGGGAGCAGATAGGAAACTGAGAGGCGCAAGGGATAAAATTATACAGGGTCTTAAATGGTGCCCTACTGAGTTTGGACTTTATCCTAGAAATGGAGGGGAGCCAGTAAATGTTTGAACAAGGGCAGACACGATCAAATTTTTCTGCTGGAAATGTCACTCTGGCTGCAAGAAGGAGGCTGGGTGAGATCTGGATAGAATGAAGGCAGAGCTGACTGGTGTGAGGGATGAGGAGGAGGAAGCTCTCACTTGTGACGTCTAAGTTTCTGGCTTGGCCGACTGGGATGGGGAACATAGGATGAGGATCACATTTTCTGGGAGATGGTGAGCTTTCAACATAGAACCTTTGAAAAACCCATAGATGCCTTTGAAAAACCCAGGCTCCCAGCAGGTATTTGAAGATCGGGATTTAGCTCCTAGGTGGAAGTTTTGGGCATTTTAGTGCATCAGGCTTATCTGAAGCCATAGACGTGGTAAGAAGGCCCAGGAAGAGTGACTGGAGAGAGACATGAAAGGGGTCAAGGATGGAGCTCTGGAGTCATCCATATTCATGAGGCAGATGAAGGAAGAAGAATGTGGGAAGGAACTGCAGAGAGGGAGGCTTCGGAGGTAAGAGAAAACCAGGGGAGACAGAGATGTCGTGGAGGTCAAAGAGGGACTTTCCAGAAGCCCAGAGTGGTTAAGAAGGTCAAAGTTAGCAAAGTCAAGTAAGACAATGTCTGAAGGGATCATGAGGAAATCAGGAGGCTGGAGCCCTTAGGGAGACTTTTGGTGTCTGTGACATGTGGAAGCAGGAGCCAGACTGAAGAGGGAGAGCTAAGGAAGGGATCAAGGAGCCAGCCAGTGTGTCTTTCCTAGACCCTGGCCCACACAGGGAGGGGGTGTCCAGGGGTCCATGGCAGGAAGGAAGAGACCCGAGCCTCTGGGAGCAGTCAAGGGGAGGGTGGAAGATACAGGCAAGAGGGAAGTGACTGAGAGGGATAGAGAAGCTAGGCACAGGACCAGAGCTAAAGGGGAAGGTGGATATAGATTCCAGTGGGAGCTGCAGGAGGTTAAGTGAGGGCCTAGCTTCAGGCCTCTAATCTTCCTGTGAAGGGGGTCAGTAGGGTTTATTTTCTGAGATGATCCAACAGTTAACGGATGGGCAAGGGCAAGAAGTTCAGAAATGACACCCAAGGGCATTGGAAATGTTGCTGAAGGCAAAGGAGGTAGAACCTCATTGGGCTCCTGGGGCCACTATGGGTGTAGGGGCTGGGGTTCTGGCAGAGTCCAGGCCAGAAGTTTGAAGATCCCTTGAAGAAACTTCCTGCAGGTTAGGTTGAAGTATAAGATACTCTGAGGGGTTCAATCCACACCGGCCATGCCCTCCTTGAAGCCCTACCCCTACCCTGAACATCAGGTGGGCTTGGGGTCTAGGGGCCTGGATGTGTCCTTAAGAGCCTCTCACATTGCCACTTTCCTCCCAGCTCCTTGTACAGCCCCACTCAGCTCTCGCTGGTCACATCGTAAAGGAAAGTCAGGGAGGAAAATTTCTGGAGGAAGAGGGCATGACAGAGGGTCTCCAGAGGCAATACATGGTGGCCTGGGGCATAGGGGTGAGGAGCCCAATCTGAGCCCGAGCCCTCTTGTGAGGTTGGGGCTTCTGTGCAGGTGATCCCCTCAGAGGCCCTCCCTTGCAGGTGTTTGGCCTCGGCTCCGTGGCCCATATGGTTCTAGGAGGTAAATTTGGGAGCTTCCTCGGTGTCAACTTGGGTTTTGGCTTCGGAGTCACCATGGGAGTGCACATGGCAGGGAACATCTCTGGTGAGTGCTCCCGGGGCCCCATCTGATCAGCAAGGCCAGGTGTCCCCTGCAGGCTCTTCCTGCCTACTTCTAGGCAGCCCCTTCTTTAAGTCCACCCAAACCCGATACTCACTGGCCTGGGGGGAGGGAGAACACCCTGAACCCCTTTCTTCTGACCCTCTCTGCCCAGAATCTAGAATCTTCATAAGCATCCCCAGGCCCCACATTTTTACTAGCTGGGTCAACTTAGGCAAGTTATTTAACTTCTGTCTCTCACTTTCCTCAATGGTGAAATGGGGATGGTAGTCCTTGCCTTGTGGGGTCTTTGTGAGGATTAAATGAATCCATTCCATAAATACTAGCTGTTATTATTATTATTAGGCTAAGCAGGGAGCCTGATGCAGGGCTCAATCCTAGGACCCCAGGATCATGACCTGAGCAAAAGCAGATGCTTCACCGACTGAGCCACCCAGGCTCCCTGCTCTCATATTGTGTGTTATTTTTGTTTGTCTCTGTTCTCACACCTCTGACACTTCTGCCCCTCCCCGCAGGGGCCCACATGAATGCAGCCTTGACCTTCACCAACTGTGCACTAGGCCGCATGTCATGGAAGAAGTTTCCTGTGTACATCCTGGGTCAGTTTCTGGGTTCCTTCCTGGCTGCTGCCACCATCTACTGCCTCTTCTACTGTGAGTGTCCTGCCCTGGGATGTCCATCTCTGGCCTCAGCCTCGTCCTCTGAAACATGGGCAGATCCAACCCCAGTGTCCTCGTCTGTGAAAACATCTGGGGGAGAAAGCCTTGGAGGTGCTCCCCACCCCTGGATCCTACAGCCTTAATCCTGGGACTCCAGTGGGGTTTAGCTGGTGGCAGGTTCACACTCAGTCTGTGTCTCCACAGCAGCCATTATCGAATTTTCGGGCGGACGTCTGACAGTGACTGGCCCCATAGCCACCGCTAGCATTTTTGCCACCTACCTTCCTGACCACTCAACGCTGTGGAGGGGCTTCCTGGATGAGGTCAGTGGCCCAGCGTGGATTCCCCTCCTCAAGCCTGCCTCACCTAGCAGGCAGCCCTCACAGGAGAGAGGACAAAAACTCTGGTTGGGCTCTCTGCTCGTGGGTTGGGGCTGGGGATGCTGCTGAAGCTCTGTGGACGCTGCTGAAGCTCTGTGGTTTGGCGAGGGGCCCCAGAGGGCTACCATGGTGTCTGCTCCCCAGGTGCTGGTGACAGGGTTGCTCCAGCTATGTCTCTTCGCCATCACGGACAAGGAGAACAACCCAGCACTGCAAGGGACGCAGGCCCTGGTGATTGGCATCCTCGTTGTTGTCATTGGCATATCCCTGGGCATGAATACAGGATATGCCATGAACCCATCCCGGGACCTGCCCCCGCGCTTCTTCACTTACATTGCTGGCTGGGGTATACAGGTCTTCAGGTACTGCCCTGCCCAGCCCATTCCTGCACGTTTTCCTGTGGGTGCCCTGCATGCAGGGGGGTGGGGGTGATGTGAGGAGCAGCTCAGGAGAGTCCTGCCCAGCTCCCAGGTGGCCTGGGGAGACAGGTGTCGGACCCCATTTCCCCCAGAGGAGCACCAGTGCAGATCCTGCTCTTAGACTGAATGTCAGTCCTGCCCCAGGACAGGCTCAGGGACAACTCTAAGGCTAGAATGGGGGTCACTCCTCGACTCTCAGGCCCTACTCTCTGTCTCAGCCTGAGTGGACATGGGTACTATGCTGGGGATCAGTGCCTTCAGCAGGCCTCTGCCTCTTGCCTGCAGGGCCCGGGACTGGTGGTGGGTGCCGGTGGTGGCACCGTTCCTAGGTGCCTACTTAGGTGGCATCATCTACTTGGTCTTCATTGGCTCCACCATCACACGGAGGCCGCACATATTGGAGGACTCCATGATGTCTGAAGACCACAGAATACCTGTGTTGCCCAACACCATGCCAAACCCAGCCATGACGTCTCCCCTCACCCCTGTTTCTGTGTCTCCCACAGTCCAAACTGTCCCCCCATTAAGTGACCCCATCCTCCTAGAGCAATTCTAAGAAAGATTATTTGTGACCCTATCCCCCCACTCCAATAAAGAAAGCCTTGTCCAACACAGTGGCACCCCCACTTCCTGGGTGCCTCCTGTGGTTGGGCTTCCCTACGGGATTCTTCCAGGAACTCCAGGGTTATGCAGTAGTCCAAGGCTGGAGCACAGAGCTGAGAGGTCTCTAACTCCTTCCAGCTTTGGGAACTGGAGTGGAATGGGGGAAGAGCTGACCTATGGCCTCAGTAGGAACAGGAGATTAAAGGATGCCAGACACAGAATGATGGACTTTCGAGGCATAGTGTAGGGGAGGGATGGTTTTGGGGAAAGGACAACAGTTAGCTGGAGGTAAGCTCTGGGGATACTTTGAGCTTCCCTGGGATGGGACTCCAGACTCCCTCAGTTCTGGCTAGTCCTAGACCAGACAAAGCAAGGCCCAAGCATGTAGATCCGAGTTTCTCAACCTTTTTTTTTTTTTCTTTCAATTATTGCTCCCTCAGAAGCCTTTTAGACATTTTCTTTCTTAATCACATGGTATTTTAATACCACAGATGTACTATATGTGTTTAAGTATTGTGTGTGTGTGTATGTGTATATATATATATATATATATATATATATATATATGCTTTATACAAAATAGAGTAAGATTTTTCCATCTTCCTCTTCCAAGAATCAATGTTCTTACCTTTGGAGGAAAAACCACCCCCCACCTTGAAAAGGTCTAATGTAGACTGAAAGTAGGTGAAGGGTTGGTTTCCTCTTTTTGCCACCAGTGCCAGAGCTCTCCTACACTCTTTCCGGAGTCAGAAGGAAGATGCAGAGAAGGAATTTCTTCTAAAAGATACAGAGACAGGAAATGGCTTCATGGGGTTCAGGGGACAGGCATAGAGGCTGGGGGGGGGGGCGGTGGCAGCCAGCATCCCTACTCACTCTGGGATCAAGCAGGAATTACCCGGCTTTCGGGGACTCAGAAAGCATCACCCATGGTTCCTGTCATTGTCCCATTGAGCCTTTCAACAATTCCTGAGAACCTCCTGTGTGCAGGCCCTGCTTGGGCACTGGAGATGTTGAAGTGGATGAGGCTGAGCCTCTGCCTTAGAGGAGCACAGTCTGATGAGGATGGGTAATCATGAGGAAGGAGCTAAGTGGCAGAGAGGGGGCTGTGGGGCTCAGAGGGGGCTCACCATCCAGCTGTGGGGCAGGGGCAAGGGATGGCTTCCCAGAGGAGGAGGCAGAGCCAAGTGGAGGACAAATGTTGTCCTTTCTGGGGTTGGTTGCTGCACTTTGCAGTTTGAGGAGATGGAGGCGAGGAGGCTGGGCTTTCTTTGGGAGTTGGGACATGGTGAGATGAGATTTAGCAAGCCCGCCTGAGCTGCAGTGTGCAAGCTGCTGGGAAAGGGGGAGATTGGAGCTTGCGAGGGAGTGTGGTGAGAGGCAATAATCCAGGAGGAGCAGCAGATGGGAGAAAGGGGATTCACCAGATACGGAGGAGGTAAAGCCCACAGGGCTTGGGCTCAGATTGGGAGGATTGGGCAAGGATGCGCTGGGGATCAGGCTGACTTCAGTTTTTGGCTTGGGCCTGGGACACTGGAGATGTGCCACCTGAGTGTTCATGGGAGACAAACTGATTTGGAGAGGAAGATAAGTTACATCGTGGGCATGTTGAGTTTGAGTTGCCTGTGGGACTTGGGGGTAAGAGGTGTGTATCTTGAGCAAGTTATTCCACCTCTCTGGGCTTCTGTTTTCTCATTTGTAAAAGGGATCGTGTATTACTTACCATTTGTGTTGCTGTGAATATTCAATGAAATAAAATGTGTACTATGCTGAGAACAGTGCTCGGCACAGGATAAGTGCACAATAAACAATTATGACTTATATGTGGTCTGGAGATCAGAAGAGAGTTGAAGACAGCGATTGAGGAAGTCATGGTTGTGTGGATACCACGGGGGCCATGGGAGAGTGAAAGGAGGGTCAGTGAACCATCCTGGGAGCATGGCTGGGAGGTGGCTGGGAGGTGTGGAGTGCGCACCTGACTGAGGAGGCGTGCAAGGTGGGTGATCACGGGGCCTACAATCAAAGACAAATGTCCATCAGGAGGGGAGCAGATACTTACCTTGCCATACAGTCACAGACAACAGGACATGACACATCGGTGAAAACTGAGGCACGACAGCTTCCTGTAACAACACGGACAAAGTGTGGAAGGCATAAACAGTAGACTATATACAGAATGACACCAGGGGTATCATTGAAATACAAGCCAAAAGGAATATATTCTTTGGGCATACACGTGCGGTAAAACTGCTTTATTTTTTAAGATTTTATTTATTTTTGCAAGGGAGAGCGAGCACGAGATAGAGGAGGGGCAGAGGGAGAAGCAGTTTCCCTGCTGAGCATGGAGCCTGACATGGGGCTTGATCCCAGGACCCTGGGGTCATGACTTGAGCCAAAGGCGGATGCTTAACCAACTAAGCCATCCAGGCATCCCCAGATAAAACTACTTAAAAAAAAAAAAGAAGGGATAGGGGTGCCTGGCTGGCTCAATCTGTGGAGGTGTGACTCTTGGTCTTGGAGTTGTGAGTTTGAGCCCCACATTGGGTTAAATAAAATCTTTAAAAATAAAAACAAAATCTTAAAAAAAAAAAAAAAGGATGGTTCGTCCAGAGAGACAGAAATGGGAGGTGAAATGGGGAAGAGCTTTGGGTAGTACAAACTATTACTTTTCTAGTTCTGGAGTTGGAGGTCAATTTATAGGTTTGTAAATGATTGTGCTTTGTAACATATAACTGTGATATATATTCATTTGTAGGTATCCTATGTTTTAAAAGATGAAGAAATAACCACAGCATGAGAACAGGTTATTGGAAGTGATAGGTATGGAAGGTCCAGGGATGAAGGGGAGAGGCTTGACTCCCTCCCCAAGTCAAGAGGCTTGACTATGTCTGACATCTCAAAGTGAGAGGAGCTGAGCCAGCAAACCAGGCCTGGGAGTGACCAAGGAAGGGTCCACAGCTGGAAGTCCCAGCCAGATGCCTCCCTCTCTCTGCCTCAGTGGCATGGTGAACATGAGAAGGGTGGCCTTTTTCATTCCTGGCATTCCAGAGCAGAGTGACCCTAAGGCCTTAGTCACAGGTGGGAGGTGTATGTGAGTCCAAGGGCTCTGGCTCCTCCTCTCCTATCCCCCTTGCTGACCACTTCAGCCTTCTGCCACCCTCATGTCCCAGGGAGGTGGCCTTGGAGGTAGGACAGTCAGTGGGTCCATCCAGAACCTGCCTGCTGGCTACCAGTCTGCACAGAGATGCACTAGGCCCATTATCCAAAATACCCTGCAGATTCTGATCCTGATGTCAGGCTCTGATGAGCCCTGACCGTGGTCACAGAGTGTTTCTGTGCACAGATCTCTTTCATTTTCTTGGCAGAAGTTGGTTGAAATTCTACAACATGCCAGACACCATTTTGGTGCAGAGGATATAGGCACAAAAAAATTTCTTGTTCTCATAGAACCAACATTCTGTGCAAGACACATGGTGTGTTAGTGATACATACTAAGGAAGAAAAGTAGCAAAGAGGGATAGGAAGCATGTGGGGCTGTAAAGACCGAAGACCTCACTGAGAAGGTGACTGCTTAAAACGAAGACCTCACTGAGAAGGTGACTGCTTAAAGACCTGAAAGTGGGGAGGGAGTGAGCCATGTGGACACCTGGAAAGGGAGCATGCCAGGCTGAGGGAACAGCCACTGAAAGGCCCTCAGGTGGGAGTGTGGAGGACCACTGCTGGAATGGGAAAAGGGAAGAGTGGAAGAAGAGAAGGTCAGACAAGCAGGTCTGAGACAAACTGAGAGGCCAGGCCCAGGGGAGAGGTAAGGCCAAGGCCTGGCACAGAGGTAAGGGAAGTCTCTGGAATAGAGAGGCAGATAGGCAGGCAGGCAGGCAGAGGTAGGGTGAGATGGGGTGGATATCACCATCCCTGTGGATCCCTGGCTCTTAGCTCTGCTATCTGTCTGACTGACAGACAGACAGACAGACACACACGCAGAGTCTTTTGTAACCACGCCCTGGCTTGGATCCAGGAGACACAGCTGTTTAGCTCTGAGAGCCAGGTTGGGATATGAGACAAGGAAGTCCTGTCTCTGCTCTCATTCTCCTAGGTGCTGGCCCAACACAGACTGGCTGTGTGACCTGGACAGAACCCCTCTCTTCTCTGGGACTCAGTTTCCCTCTCTGTGCATTGAGGCTTGGATTTGTTGGGGTCTGGGGGGAGCCCCACAGCTCTGACTTCTTCCAGTACTTTGCAGTCTCATGTCATGACCTCACTTCCCTTTCTCCCACCCCAACTGAGGCTGTGGTTGAACGGGGGACAGGGTAGGGCAAGAGCAACTCCCAGCCCCAGACCAGGCTCCTCCAGGACTTTGCAGATGAAGGTTTGGTCCTCAGCCTGGTGGTCCTGGCTTTGGGAGGGACCCTGACTCCCTGTCCTTCCCTGCCCTCCCACTCCCACTCAGGCCCTTCAAGGGACAGGAACTCACAGACAGCATTCCGTTCTGGCTAGTCTGTCTGTCTCCCTCAGATGGGGTCCTGCAGCCCAGAAAGAGATGGGAGCAGCCATCTCGGGCAGGTTGGGGTGCTGATGCCCCCAGTGGGAGGAGGCTATGGCCCCTGAGAGCTGTGCAGCCTGACCATGGCTAGGCACTACCTCTTTGCTGATCCTGAAGTGGGAAAGAGGAATAACCCAGCTCCCCTGGGTGCCACAGGGCCTATACTGTGGCCCCCGAGAGCACAAAGAGGGCAGCCAGGCTGGATGCAAATGCTGGCTCTACCGCTCACTAGCTGGATGACTTTAGGTAAGACAGGGTAATAACAGCTCCCACCTCACAAGGCCGCTGGGATGAGAAAATGAGCCCTGCCTGGCATGTGGGCAGTGTGTTTGCTGTTACCACTCCACACCCTCCTGGTCCTCATGCCCATCTTACATCCAAGAAAGCTGAGGTCTGGGGAGATTGACTTGGTAAGGGGTAGACAATAGGGATTCCATTGCTTACCAATATGGGCTTGGCTAGTTTTTTTGTTTGGTCTCTAAATTGTGAAATACATCCTATAAACATGCATATATAACATA